GTATTTTTGATTCCACTCAGGGTTTAGTGATCCATCCTGGCACCTTTGGCATGTAAGCTCTTAGAGAAAACATCTTAGAAATCCTCTAAATTTTGGCCGGGCGCAGTGGCTCATGCCTGTAATCCCAGCACTTCGGGAGGCCATGGCAGGCAGATCACAAGGTCAGGAGATCGAGACCATCCTGGCTAACATGGTGACACCCCGTCTCCACTAAAAATACAAAAAATTAGCTGGGCGTGGTGGCAGACACCTGTGGTCCCAGCTACTCAGGAGGCTGAGGCAGGAGAATCTCTTTAACCTGGAACGCGGAGCTTGCAGTGAGCCAAGATCGTGCCACTGCACTCCAGCCTGGGCGACAGGCTTTTTTTTTTTTCAAAAAAAAAAAAGAGAAATCCTCTAAATTTCCTACTTTGGCATTACATAGGCCTGTTGTTAGCATCACAAAGCTTCCTCTTAACGTAGGTCTCTTTACTCAGAATTAAGTTCTAGCATAGTAAGTATCTTGCTCTATTCTAAGTTGTTCCTCTGGTTTGCAGAAAAATTAACAAAAAAGGTAACAGCAATAGCATATTCCCACTCTTAGGGATTTACAGTTCTACTTTGTTTCCTTTTGAAAAACATTGTGATTCAAAACCTGGCCCTAATGGTTATTACTGCATCTTTGGAACACAGGCCTGGGGGTAAAAAGAAAAAAAAAAAACAACTTTTAAAACCCCTTTCTGTGTATCCATTGTTAGGCCCAAACACTTCCTCCGCACAGCTACAGATCTGGGAGGCATCACCAGGCACCCAAAGCTGCTTGCTAATGCCCAGTTTACTGACTAGGAAGCCTCTTGGGTTCTCTCTAATGAAGGAGGTATCCAATCATTGCCCCTGCCCTTGCTATTATCAACCAGGTGGCTTTAATGCTATTACACAATAATGTGGACTAAGGCCCAGGGTAGGAACTTTATGGAAACAGCAGCATAGTTTAGGAGAGAAAAGGTTCTTTTAATCTGAATTCCAAGGACATGGCCTGCAACAATCATGTTTCCCCAGGAAATTCTTAGGAAGTCATTAATGGTGAAGTCAGAGAGCCTTAAATTTGTTCCTTCTACCCTGGTGAGAGCAGAAACAAGAACTCAGGGTCCAGCCAACACTGACTGTGAACGTCGTTGGTGCCAGAATCTGAGCAAGGTGTGGCAGAGGATCCAGACTTGAGTCAGGATGTAGTTTCTCCTTTCCATGAACTCAGAGTCCAACTCAGGTGGGAGCAGGGGGCAAACCAGACAAGGTCACAAAAGACAATGCCAAGACAGCATGTGAAGAGTGCTGTGACTAGCCCTAATGGCTGTGGGAAGGAGAGAACACAGTGGGTTGGGGAGAACAGGAAGTGCATCTTAGAGCAGTGGTTCTCAGAAGTGAGCCCACGCCACAGCCACCTGGACGGCCCCACTACAGAGCTGCGGGTTCAGTAGGCCTGGCGTGGGGCCTGAGAATTTGCGTCTTTAACATCCCGGGTGATACCGATGCTGCTGGTTCGGTCCTGGGACCCACTTTGAGAACCACTGACTTAGGGGAAGTAACGCTGCTTGAGTTGAGCTAGAAGGATAAGGGATTGAGGCAGATAGGTGAGTGGAGGCAGCAGAGTTGTTGGAGTTATGGCTTGAACAAAGGTACGGAAAGAAGAGTGAAGGGATGTGCTGGGAAAATGCAAGGAGTCCACATAGAGAAATGGTGGCAGATGGGGATGGCGTGATGCTGGAGGGGACTTTGTAGAGTCTGTGCCTACTCTGGAGGTAAGTGAGGAGCCAAAGGTTTTGAGCAGAAAAGGCATCTAACCATAATTACATTCCAGGAAAATGTGGCAGCAGTATTAGCAGTATCTGTCTAACCAGTTAGCTGTGAGAAAGAGTCTGAGGCTGAGGATGGACCCAACCCAGTGATGAGTTTGCCATGGATAGAGAAATAGAGAAGGGGGGAATTCTGCCATATATTTGCTATCCCTGGACTACAGGGACACAGATTAGGAGAATTTTGGAATAGCTGTGATAGCAGGTAAGCAGGAACTATATTCCTTCAGTCATATATAAGGAATTGCTGTAAGCACTATGGAAATGTATATAAAATATATTGCTAAGATAGAATCTACTAGATATGGACACTGAGTCATTTACTCGGCAAAAGTATGTGGTGGCCAAAAAAGCAGCCAGGGATAAGAGAATAAAATGTAAACCCTGCTCTCAATGAACTCACAGCCTAGAGCGGGGACTGTGGCAACAGAAATAGATGTTCATGAGAGGCTTCCTGGAGATGTCTGAATGGAGGCACAAAGCATTAGTAAAAGTTAGCCAGGCGAAGTGGTGGTGTGCTGGGGAGCCAGGGGTGGGCGGGGGAGGAGAAGTTGATGTTCTAAGCACAAGCAGCCATGAAGACAAGGATGATCCATGAGGGCTGCAAATTGCCGGGTTGTAGAGGGTAAGGCAGGGAGTGGTGAAAGCTAGGTAAGGGCAAATGAAGGCCAAGTGCTCCAGGGCAAAGACCTTAGAATGTGTGCAGTGGACTAGGGGAAGCATCTATGGTCAGATTGGTTACTGGGGCAGTATGAAGGGTGCCTTTATAGGAAAGCCATCTGGAGTCTAGGAGACCCACTAGGACACTGGTGCAGTTCCCCAGGCACTAGAGGTGTGTTTAGGGTGGTGTGAGTGGGACTAGAGCAGAGAGACTGGAGAAGCGGGACTGTGTGGAGGTGGGAGCAGAGGACTGGTGGACCGCTGTGGCTTCTGTGGACGTAGGTTGGGTCAATGGTCATGTCTAAAACAGGGCTGAAGGCCAGAGGAGAGGGATAGTTTTTTTTTTTTTTTTTTTTGAGACGGAGTCTCGCTCTGCTGCCCAGGCTGGAATGCAGTGGCCGGATCTCAGCTCACTGCAAGCTCCGCCTCCCGGGTTCACGCCATTCTCCTGCCTCAGCCTCCCAAGTAGTTGGGACTACAGGCGCCCGCCACCGCGCCCGGCTAGTTTTTCGTATTTTTTTAGTAGAGACGGAGTTTCACCGTGTTAGCCAGGATGGTCTCGATCTCCTGACCTCGTGATCCGCCCGTCTCGGCCTCCCAAAGTGCTGGGATTACAGGCTTGAGCCACCGCGCCCGGGGGAGAGGGATAGTTTTAAGAGACACCATGAATTCTGTTTATTTGATTTTGAGTTTGAGGTACTTGTGGCCCCTCCATGTGCCAGCAGCCAGCAGTCAGCTGGACATGAGTCTGAAGCTTGGGATTCAAGTCTGGGCTGTAAGTACTGATTTGGGGGTCATTAGCGTTTGTGTGGCTTGAAATCATAAGGGTAGATGAGATCACTTAGGGAGGAGTCAGCAGAACAGTGGTCTGGGAATACCAACAAGGAAGCAGGCAGAAGAGGTGTAGGCCCAAGAGAAAGAGCAGACTGTACGAGAGGGCCAAGGAGAACCGGGAAGTTCAGGGAGTAGGGCCTTTCCAAAAGGGAGATGGTCGCAGCAGAGAGGTGATGGGGAGCAAGGAAAAGACATTCCTCAAGCTGCTCCGGGCTTGGAAAATGGGAGGGAAGAGGCTACTGATCAAAACTGGGGAAGCAGAAAAGGGAGCTGGCTCAAGTGAGGGGGGAAGATGATCCACTTTGGGGGCGCTGTGTTTTGCATCACGTCTAACAAAAATAGCTGGAATTTAAAGTCATGCATCTCAAGGAACAGGCTGGGTTAAAAGGACTGGTTTGGGTCAGCTGTTGAGAACTACAGGCTACATAAACCCTTGAGGAAAGCTGTTAAGGGGGTAGGAAGGTGGAAGAACCAACCAAATCATCATAAAGGCAGGAATTTGATGCAGTTCTCGGAGGCCAAATCCATGGGCCCTTACACTGCAACCTGCCTCCTCCTGTTGAGGGAGGTGTTTGGATGCTGGGGAGGTCCTTAGAAGGACTGCTGCAGATGTGGCCACACCACAGGATTATTCCAACCCAGTTCATCCTTCTACCCCAAACGCTGCTTATTCAGACTCTCAAAAACCAAAAGGCATTTTACTTTTTTTTTTTTTTTTTTTTTGAGACAGTGTCTCATTCTGTTGCCCAGGCTGGAATGCAGTGGTGTGATCTCAGTTCACTGCAACCTCCACCTCCTGGGTTCAAGTGATTCTGCCATCTCAACCTCCCAAGTAGCTGGGACTACAGGCGTGCGCCACTACACCTGGCTAATTTTTGTATTTTTTGGTAAAGACGGGGTTCTGCCATGTTGGCCAGGCTGGTCTTGAACTCCTGACCCCAAGTGATCTGCCTGTCTCTGCCTCCCAAAATGCTGGAATTACAGGCGTTAAGCCACCACGCCTGTCCAACATTTTAATCAATGTTTTTCTTTCTCCACATCTTCCGGGGTCGGTGTAAGATCTAGCCAAAGAAACAACTTTGAAGTCCCTTTCTCCTTGGTCGTTTCGAATTCAAAATGAATTTTCACAGGTGCTAACAGTCATCTGAGCTGGAAGATGTGGAAACCAAGGTACTTGTGACGCTAAAGTTACCTCCATGCCTGTGGGAAGACAAATCTGGTGGCATTTAAGACACCATGACAATACGGAGGAATCAGGCTAGGAGGGACTAGCAGAGGCAAGAGATGGCAGGGCTGGAGGTTGGGTTGGTGGCATTCAGTCATTTGCCAAAGGCCTTGGGATATAGAGGAAGTAAAATACAAAATGGCACTGCAGAGACAGATGGGACACATATGGTGTTTAGGCTTGGGCAACAGCGAGATCCACCCATTGAGAAACTTGACCTCTGTGCAGATGGCCCAGGGGCTCCTGCTGGCACTGCATGTTGCCCTTGGTGAATGAGAGCAGCTGGATATTACATGAGGACCATGGCAGAATGTGGCCTGGCACATCATTGGTCAAGGTGTATCTGGGCTTATAGACATTTTCCTCTGGTCCTCCTGAGCCCTGAAGTCCCTGGGACCCCTCGGGGCTCCCCTTTAAATCTTCTCTCCACCCACAGACAACAGCAAGAATCAGACTGAGCTCCTGGCACAGGAGCTTTTCCATGACAAGTTTATTAGAAGGGCACTTACAAGAGGAAGAGAGGGAACGAGAGGACACACATCTTTAACAATAGGGGTACAATGCTTAAACAGGTGCTCTGCTTTTAAGATATAAAAGTTAGAAAAATCTAAAACACTATAAATACATACATGCTTTTTACAAAGTTATTAAAAGGTCAGGCTGGCTGAATAGTGAAGGTAATCAACATAGTCAATGTTCTATTCCCCATCCCTCAACACACACCAAAGTAAGGGTCCAGAACAGCCGAGTTGCAACAGCAGCAGTGAAGGTGAGTGAAGGCTTCTTGGATAGACGGCTCCATCTCTCTGTAATGCTTTCACCCCTAGCAAGGGAGTGGGGCTTGGTTCAGAGGACCCTAGTGGAAGGGCCCAGATCTGACTCAGAGCTGCCTGTTTCTACACGCGGCCACTTGTTTAGCCAGCCTGGTTTGGTGTTTCTGGATGCTGAGCCAAAAAGCCACTACACCCTCCACCAACATTCAGAACTGGCTGTGCCCCAACTCTTCCAGCCACTGTCCTTGGGAGGAGAGACCTTTCCAACTTTCTTAAAAAAATTAAATAGTTATCTGTCTGAATGGTTTTAAGAAATTATTACATAAATACAAAAACACCAGAATACTAGAGTATACATTACTTCTGCATTAAAAAAAAAAATCCATTACAGAATCACTGAGAATTTCTCAATCCAGTTTACATGAGGCAAGTTTCTTTTCTATGATAGCTGTGTTTTTGAAAAGTTGCCTGTTTAGCCCATCATCTCCCCACCAACACCTCCCCATGGGAGATGCTTCGTCATCATTTTGGATCCATGTCCTCTTGCGTACGTTTTCCTGCTTTCCCTACCCACTTGAGAAGCTGCTGATGCTCCTTAAACCGTGATGGCAATACATTGTGAAGACTGTTACCTGAAAGGGGCCTACAAGGAAACATTTTTGCCACATAAAGACGGTACAGCTTTGCTGTCTTGAGGTTTGGTTCTGGTAAAATGGGGACACGTATGTTTTGGGGGAACTCCCAACTCTAGCCAAGTCACACAGTAAGAAACAGCATCCAGGGCTAAACGTGTGCCCTCTTGCTGCTGGTATTCCCCTTGGTGAACAGTCCTACAAGCAGCCTGCAGATTCTTCTCCCTACATCTCCTGTGAGGACGAAGGAGTGGTTGTGTAACCTGAGCTCTGGCCCTGTGGAGACCCTCATGAGCCTGAGGCTAAGAATGAAACAGATCTTTGCGTCTTCCCCAGATTACTCACATACGTGCATGCCATGCACACACTACTTCAGACCTTTCTGTAGTCTTCAGTAAAAGCGTTTAGCCTGGAATATGCCCAAACTCTAGGAAGCCAAGGGGAGATGGAGAAAAATAAAACAAAATAAGCACACGATAATGTGCTATAGCTCACTTCAGTATATGAACAATGGTTTAAAAAAATAATCACCATGGTCAATTAAAAAAAGGAAAATACAACACAGACAACATAAGGACAATGGAGACGTCTGCCAGCAGCCTTGTCCTCATGTGTGCTCTTCCTAAGAGTCAAAGTCCCTGCTCCTGACTCTAGGCTTGTCTCAAAATGTCAGGTCTACAGCCTGCCAGGAAGGTGGCCAACTGAGATGATGTTCCAGCACAGGCCTGTAATCCAAACCGGCTGGGGTAGCTACCTATGTATGCGCTGGAAGGATCTAAGTTACTAAATTGGGAAGAAGCGAGGTGGGGCGGGGAGAGAGGAAAGGGAATAAAAGTTGGCTCCTTGGAAGGTGCTGAAGACAAGGATCTATGTCCCAGTGCTAGCTACACTTGGGTCAGTCTCAGCACAAGCTGCAAGGTGAAGATGTCATGGCGGGGAGCCCAGGGCAGCGGCAACACACACGGTCGTGCTGCCTAGATGAACGCCACTTAAAACTGCTATCCAGTCACCGACACTCCTCTAGAACTGCCCTGGTTTCCTCTTGCCCCTTTCAACTGTCCTTTAAAAAAGTGTTTTAATATACAAATGCCACTCATACCACAGGATTTTAAAACTAAGAAAACTAGCTTGTGGCTTCAAGGAAGGAGACTGATGTTACATACGCCCAAAGCACCTACGTAGCGCTCTAAGGTGGGAAAGGCACCATTTCCTAACCTCTTAGGTATGATCAAATTTATTTTCAGTATGCCACAGGTGGGTTTGCCTACAATCCCACACATCCTCCTCCGATGGTCTAGTCTATAAAGAAAAAGGGCCAAGGAAGTAGCCTTCAGGTCTGAGCAATGAGGGTTCTAAGACACTATCCAAAAGCAGCCAAATGTGTCATTTCATCACATTCAAAGTTCATAACCTGCCAAAGTATAGGCTTTTTCTCCCCCCTTCACCTGGAATAAGACAGACTCCGCAGATCACTGGATCACCAGAATCGGGCTGTGCCTGAAGCTAGTTCCCAAGCACCCAGAGGGCTGTGTGCCACAGGAAGCCCTCACAGAATCATGCAGCAGGTGGAGAATGCAGGCCCTCGGAAACTGCTGCCCGTGGCTTTTAGGAGAGGAACCATGACTGCTCTAGCAGAAGCCAAAATGGAGTATTTGTGTCCTGGGTCTCAGAGCTGGCTGGGAACATGAACCCATGTACAGGAGGTTCAGGGGGCTTCCTGTGTAAGCAACAGGCCACAGATCATTTCGACACCAGGCACATCCTTCAGACTCACAGTATTTGGCCCTCTCAGAGGAAGTGAGGGGTGTTGTGTTGTCTCTGGGTTCTGAGTCAATACTCCTTCGAGAAGACTCACACAAGTCTGTCAAGGTGCTCCTTCCATCTCTTCCTGTGTCCTCAGGAGGCTTGGGGAGCAGCTGTCCTACCTGGAAACCTCATGGCTAGAGATTCAGAGGCACAGGACCCTGCAGGTGAGGCATCAGGAAACCTCTCCATCTCCCTCCAACATCAGAAATCTCATCACATTTGAGGTGTATACCCTGCCAAAAGTGTATACACTTTCTTCCCTTCACCTGGAATAAAACAGGACTTCCATAGGAAGTCCCTTGATTTTAAATCCATGCAAAAATGTGGGATAGGTCATTTTATACAAAAACAGCAGCAAAGAACAAAGTACCAATTGAAGGTGGCAGTTCTGTCTATTGTGTTCTGCAAAAGGCTGGGAAAAGAAGAGGGCTCTTTTTTCTTTTTTCCAGTTGAAATCATTTAGGCTAGTTTTCTCCCGAATTGCTGCTGGGAGCAGTACTTATTACACAATACAACTGCTATAGTTGTCACTGACGATCCTCTACCGGGAGCTAGGTCATCTTATATCCCAGGGGGATATACCTCTTTGAACCAAGAGGTATATCCTCTTGACAGACCTCTTTGAACCAAGCCTGCAATTTGCAAAGGTGTAAAAATATTTTAATAGCCCTTTTCATTTGCCTATGTCGGCCTGAGATGTTTTCCCTTCTGGTGAATTTGCTTCCGTAAATTTCAGCTTGCAGAAGTGCTGGCAGGTGTCTCTTCAACAAAACCTGGAAAAGCTTCACCTTAGGAGAGAGAAGGGAGAGAAGCAGTTGCTGGGTCTCACTCAGGTTTCCCAGTCAATGTGCCAGCCCAGGATTTTTAAAGAAAATATATCAACCAAACATTTAAAAGAGCATATGATAAAGTTGATTTAATGAATGCAACTGACTACATAAACCAATATAGCCGTATGCATCAGAATCTGGAGCGAGCTCTTACAGATGACTGGAGACGCGCCCAGTGCGGTGCTGCCTGAGACCAAACGCCGTCCCACGACAGGGGCCTCCTGCTTCATGAGGACACTTACCATCATTCGAATCTCTTTGAGATTAATGTGATAATAGACACTATACACTGCATACGCACTGGGCCTCAGCAGATCCTTCCAACTTTTCAAAGTGAAAAAGGACAAACGCATGCGAGTTTTTAAAGAGGTGGTGCTCATCAATTTTTCCCGCTGTCCTGTGTGCAGGTTCTGCTGAACACGCGCCTTCCAATCAGTACGTTCTGAGAGGGGAGGGAGACAGACAAACTCCCTCCCTCCCCACCCCAAGTCTATCCAGCTCACGAGGGGCAGGGTCTGCTGGAGTGCTGGGGCTGGGCTGGGAATGTTCATTGGAAGAGGCACCGTCACAAACATCAGAGAGCTGGGCGTGAGGTCCGCATGGCCCCTGCGGGCTCCTCCTACCTAGAACGCTCTTCCAAGGTGAACTCCACACTGCAGTCCTAGACAGAGGGGCGTTTCTGGTTGGACCGTGACAGCCCAGAAAGCTGTCACTCAAAAAAGGAGCCTGGGGGGAGGGGGCCGGTGGTGTAATACTACCTGTTCTGCTCACTTAAGCCACCAGAGCAGACGCCATTTCCTGCCCTTCAAAGTGGGGCCAAAGGGTAAATGTGTTTGGCAGACACAGCTGTTCATAACATCCACCTCTGGGTTTGCTCGTGTGTTTCCGAAAACAGGTAGGTGCACCCCTTCAGTTGAGGGAGAAAGATTTCTTCTTCCTTGACAACAATGAGTTGAGTAGAGTTCCAATTTTCTCCACCTCCTGCATGGCCATTTCCCCCAAGCCCGCCCTCCCCTACCACACTTAATGTCTCTAAGACACGCTGGAACAGCGGATGCTTGGGGAGCCCATCTGGGTGAGGACCTTGTCAAGCCACTGCAAAGGCCCATTCAGGTGCAGCTCGATCCAGCAGGGGGTACTGGTCACAGTCTGTCTCCTGTAAGAAACAGGGAAAGGGGGGGGGGGGGGGGGACTTAAAAACATCTCCAGGGGGCTACACAAGTCAGAAAACTTCTGCTTTGGTGACACTCATCTTCCCAAAGCCAGAGAGAGAGACTACCTTGTGAGACGCTGTCCTAGAAGCGGTACCAATAACTTGCTGAAACTACCAGGCCACACTCCTCCACCCAGGGAGGACTTCAGGTAAATTAAGTTCTCTCGAGGGGGAAGGAAGTCAACTTTAAAGAGTTAAACATGTAAAGTCAACGGCAAAGAGTTAAATACGCAAAGTCAATTGCAGGGCACCCAGAGGCCCACCAGTTACTGTAACAGGCCCCCTAATAGAAGAGACCTCCATCCTGAGCAAAGGGCTTCCTGGCTCCCATCTGTACCAAATGGGCACATGCCGCTCCCCTATCTCCAAATCCGGGCCCAGCCCCAGCAGGCCACGATGACGTGTGTCTGTCTGATCGAGGGGTGTTTTTTACAAAGCGCCAACAGTGTCCGCATGCCTTCGGTTCCCAATGTGCTGATATAATTCTCATCTACGGCCTTATTTTGGAAAATCTTACAAGCAGAGCGAGCCATGGAACAATTACTGGAAAAAACCAAGGCACACCACACGTTTCTTTTCCCCAAAGCACTTTGTCTAAATTCAGGCTGGTTGATGACGCAGCTTGCAGGCAGGCTCCCAAAGGCCTCCACTGAGCAAAGGCTATCTGCTGAGGCTGGAGCCGCTGGTGCCAGCTGGAGGTGAGAGGTGTGGGCCCTGGGCCCTGCTTTCAGCCACCGCACAGAGAGAAGAGCTGAAACCTTACTCTCCTTGGCCCAAGAGGCAGGAGGACGACAAGGCTGTTCTGGGAAGGGGCCGCGCCCGCCCGTCAGGCTGCTGTGCAGTCCTGCCAGGCAGCGGTGACGCGGTGGGCCGCAGAGGACTGGGTGTGCTGGCAGGACATCCCGCACGGTGATACAGTGTCCCCAGGGAAAGGCTCTGCCACCAAAGAGCCTCTTCCTAGCACTTGAAGCGGGAGAGCTGCAATGCCACACCAGGAACAGGGCTGCTGTCTTGAGGGCACCGCCCTCCTTGCTTGGCCTCTACTTTGCTTGTGTAGCAGGGAGGTTCAGAAATGGGCCTGCAGACAAACCCTGGGGTGTCTGCATGAGTAAGGGTACTTGAATGTGGCCCTCTCGACTACAATCTGGTATAAGAAGAGCAAATGGACATCCCCTTGCTCTTCTCCACTGCAGTCCATCTTTAAATATTTCCCTTCTCCAGTAAAAAGAGATTAATTTTCTAACCTTTCACTCCTGTTCCCTAAATGATCTAAGCCAGGGCTAAAAGATTGCTTAAAACATTTCTCTGGCTGGACCTTTGGGCCTGGGCTGATCTCTTTAGACCATAACATAGGTAAGTTCTTTTGAGGTCTGACCACTTTGATTGCTTCACTGGTCACTCCTGAATTTCAGAGACACCCCAGAGACCAAGGGGCTATGTTCCCTGACACCCTGGGGCAGACACAGAAGAACAGCAGCTAAAATACGGTAAGTGGAAGAGGAGGATTTTACAGGACGAAATCCTCTAATGAGAATCTGACTTTCCATAAGTCATGCTCATCTGGATTTCATTACAAACGGTGGCCCAAGGCCAATATTGAAATGGGTTTGGCCTGGGTGCAGCATGACTGCAAAACAAAATGGATTCCAAACATCTGGAAAAATGAAGAGAAGGGGAGAGTAGCTTGCAAGGCACTGGCTCGAGCTGACGTGTGGGCACCCCTGCATCTGCCGCAGGAGCTGGCGGCTGGCAGTGGGGAGTGTGGAGCAGAAGGCGGGGGCACACAGCCCTGCCTCTCAGCAAACTTTTGTCCGTGAGTGGAAAGAAAAGGGATTGGATTTTCTAAACCCAAAGCAGGATGGCCTGAGAGATTGAACCCAAGCAGACCAGGTAGACCTGACTACATCAGGGCCATGTTTAAACCAGTATCTAGGGCCGGGTACGGTGGTTCACACCTGTACCAGCACTTTGGGAGGCCGAGGCAGGCGGGTCACCTGAGCTGAGGAGTTCTAGACCACCCTGGGCAACATGGTGGTCTCTTCTAAAATACAAAAAATTAGCCGGGCGTGGTAGCACGCGCCCGTAGTCCCAGCTACTTGGGAGGCTGAGGCATGTCCCGGAGGCAGAGATTGCAGTGAGCCGAGATGGCGCCACTGTACTTCAGCTGGGGTGACAGAGGGAGACGCCATCTCAAAAAAAAAAAAGAAAGAAAAAAGAAAAGAAACCAGTATCTAGGACTCTAAAAAAGTCATTTCTCAGCGAGAAAATTTTGTTCCTTTGTAACTACCCAAATCTCTTCCTCCCTTCCCTGACTCTCAGTTTTAATATCCTGGGCTCCTCAGCATCACCAGGGGTCCCTGAGTCAGAAATGGAGCAACAGAGGAGGAAAGAACAATGAGCTGAAGACCTAACTTCCTGAAGAGGGGCATCCTAAAGCCATGTGCCTAAAATGAAGAGTAAGGAAGAAGCTGAGAGGGCAGAGTTCTAGACACAGCTCTTCTACCCGTGTGACTGCAGGCAAGCCACTCTTCCTCCCTGGGCCTCAGTTCTCTCATCTATCCGGATGATGCCGGCAGCCCCATCCAGGGCTGGGATGAGGATAAGAGGGAGCGTGTGTTTACAGTGCCTGCAGCTGTTCGGTGCCAGCAAACATCGCTCTGCAATTCCTCATCCTTGCTGCTGGCCCAGCCCCTCCTGCCTGCCAGGCCCTGGGCTCTCTCTGATCTTTGGTCTCTCTGCTCTTGATGCCAGGGCTGGCCTCGCTCATCTCTGAGGAGCCCCGCCTGCTCTGCTGTCCAGAGTCTCCTGGAGTTGGGGCCCCTGATGTAGGCAGCACCCGTAACCGACCTGTACTCCGCTCCCCAGCCTTTGACGAAGCTCATGCGGATGGTACACATTCGGGTCAACTGGTAGACAGCCTCAAAGCCCTGGTTGACGGACTGGGCCAGGAGGGCAGCAAACTCCTGGTTGTTGAAGATCTTCAGGTTGCATCCTGACAAAAACACAGAAACGGGGCTGTGGGGATGAAAGTGGCCAGGTCTGTTGCTCCCCTCCTGGATAAAGCAAGTCCTGGACCCCCTAGACCAGCCTCATTTATACAGCTCCAGGGACACATGGTGTGTGATGCATTTGCCACACACTCCACGCTCAGCACCACGCAAAGGGAAGGCTGACTCAGTCCCTCCCCTTGAACCCACCTCCTCCCTGGGAGGTGCCGCTGACATACCTGCAAGGGGAGATGGAAGGCTGGCCCACAAGCTCCGACTCCCAGAGCGGGGAGAAGTCTGCAAAGTGGGCTTCTGAGACTGGGGAGATGGTGTGGAGAGGGGGCCTTGCCCTGGGCAAACGGACCAGGGGACAGAGAGATAAGGGACCTGGACCAGGTTGCCCATGCTGTGTGGGGTCTGGTCGCCCACCTAGGAACAGGAGCTCTGGCTGTTCCACAGCAGGCAGTGCCAGCAGAGACGGGCTGGCTGAAAGGCTACTGGGCCTGCCATCCCCACAGGAAGCTCGGCGGAGGGCCCAGGGCACCCTCCACCTGGGCTCCTCTGATGAATACACCTGGTGCTGGGGCTAGGAGGGAAGGAGAGATCTGGGCCACAGTTTGGCCTCTGGGCACCAGGCAGGGTGGAGGTGACATTCACAGCTAAGTGAAGGTGTGCATCTAATTCTCCAGACAGTAAAACTAAAGACAGTCACAAATAAAGTTTAAAATAAACGTCGTTTGAAGTCTTACTGCCTGAGTGCCAGGAATGTGTCAACCAGAAAAATAAAGACAAAAGCACACGCCGGAAATAGCCAAAAGGTGAGCTGGGGTGACGCTTATGAATGAGCCAACAGCAGGCTCCTGTTCTTGCTGTGTGACTCTGAGCTGGTCGCTTTCTCCTGGGGACCCTGTGTCTCTGTATAATGAGGGGCTGGCCTCAGAGGTCCTTCCAGCTCTGACATTCTATGAGCTGACAAACACCACCAGAGCCAACTCAGCCCTCACCCAAAAGATGGGGGTGGGGCCGGGGAATGGAGGAGGCAGAAGGCCAAGAGCGTCACTGAGCTTCCTCTTCTCATTCTCTCCAAGGACAAGGGTGGTGGAACAGGGCTGAACCTGGGCCCTGACCCCCAGCAGAGCCAAGAAGCAGAAGAGCACCAGACTTGAGAGTTCATCAGCCCTAGGCCCCATCCTGGCTTGGTCACTTACTAGCTGTGTGTCCTTGGGCAGATGGCTGAAACTCTCTGAACTTGTCTCTCAAAGCGTCTCCTTACTTATAGAGCCAGAGAATAACTAGAGAGGACTAAATGAGGTCAAAGATCGGAATGTACTCTGTAAATGCAACCACAAAATGCTCTGGAAACCTGATGCGCTATTACCATTTCAGACTTTCTGCATTCTAAAGTTTCCCTGCCCGTGGTCCACCACTTCTCCACTACCATCTGCTGCTCAGTGGGCAGGAAAGGGCATGCCACACACGTGTCACAGGCAATGGCCCGGCCAGGTTACCTGCTCCACTAGCCTGTCACAGGCCACGTTCCGCGGGCTGCCGGCACAGTGGCTGCAGGTCCTGTGAAAAGTGGGCTTTGGCTGGCGCTTTCTGCCTTGGTTTCCTGAGGAAAGAGGCCTTAGACGGGATCAGCCACCTGCCTGATCTTGCTGTCCAGGCATGGCCCTGTCCAAACCACTCTCGGGGGTGCAGCCTGACACCTCTTCTTGGGGTACAGGTGGCATCTTCAGACTCACTCAGAAAACCCTCAGCAGTTCCCTAGAGTCAAACTCTGCTGTCCTTCCACGGCCTCATGCTTTGTGCTTTTGAAACATTTCCCCTGACCGTCTCATACGTGGCCCTCCTCCAGCCAGAGAGCTACCCATCCATGTCCTGCCCCCCATCACCTCAGGGCCTTTGCCTGGCCTGTTCCCCCGTCTAGAAAGCCCTCCCCGTGCCTAGTGCCTACCTATCCTTCAGGATCCAGATGCTTCTCCTCCATGAAGACTTCCCTGATCCATCCCAACAGCTAAACGGGCCTTCTCTCTACGTGGGCTGCTGGCTTGGTGCTTGGCACCCCTCCCTTATATTGAACTCATCCGTGTCTGTCTTCTGTGCTTTGCAGGTTTGTAAGGTCTGCGGGAGCAGAGCAGGGCCCCATCTACCTCTTCATCCCCTACAGCACCTGGCACGGAGCCCTGCATGCTGTTAGTACAATGAATGAGTGAAGAAAGGAAGCCACACTGCCTGAGCATCTACACACAGGGCAACAGGCAGGTACCCATGGTTAAAGGCAGACCCATCAGATGCTACATCTGCTCCCTGGAGGTTCAGGGAAAGCACAGTTAGATCTGTGGGCATAGAGAAAACCCAATCGAATCACCTCCAGATTGAAAACGCAATCACCAGTGAGCAGAAAAGGTGAGAAACGTGGACTCTCTCCAGCATCCCAGGCATGCACTTGGAGAGGGACCTCAAGGCAGGGGTGCCTGTGTGGCTGGCTTACCTGGTGGGATCTTGCAGACAGTGGCCGGGTGCCAGCCATAGCGCTGGTTACAGTTGGGAGACTGGACAAAAATAGCGCTGTCACTGAGGCACTCTGCGAAGACCTCCCCTCCGATGTAGTAGAGCCGCACGCCTCTTCCTACAGAGATTCAGGTTAGACTGGACGGGGTGCCTTTGCTCATACACAATGGCCCTGAGGCTTGCAAAGGATGCAGAGCTGCAGGGCTGCTCCCAGTGACTGACAGCTTCCCCAGGCAAACGGGCCCCAAAGCCCAAGCCTCAAGGAGGAGAAATGGGCAATGCTGGATTCCTAAAGCCAAGGGAGGCAAATGACAAGAGATGGGCACACAGGATAGGTCTCAGTGACAGCCTTTGCCACTGAGCAGGTGTGAGACTCAGTCAAGTTATTCACCCTCTGAGCCTTCGTCTGTCTCTACGATAGGGATGGGGGCTGGGCGCGGTGGCTCACACCTGTTAATTCCAGAGCTTTAGGAGGGCAAGGTGGGAGGATCACTTAAGGCCAGGAGTTCAAGGCCAGCCTGGGCAATGTAATGAGACTTCATCTCTACAAAAATATTTTTTAAAAATTAGCTGGGCATAGTGGCATATCCCTGTAGTCCTAGCTGCTTGGGAGGCTGAGGTGGGCGGATTGCTTGAGCCCAGGGGGTTCAAGACTGCAGCGAGCTCCCATCATGCCACTGCACTCCAGCCTGAGAGACAGAGTGAGACCCTAACTGAAAAAAAAAAAAAAAAAAGAAAAGGGGAATGATAACGCCTACCCTTGCAGGATTACTGTGCGACACAGAGTAAGCGCCTGTAAGTGTCAGCTTTTCTTGCTGCTACTGCTACTACTACCCCACTACTATCTGGTCTCTTCACACTCCAAGATTCAGAGATTCATTGAGTAAACCTGCAGGGCTCCTTCTGGCGCAGCAGACACCCCGAGGAGCCCTTTATTGCAGGGATGGCTTAATGCTACCCCATATTTTTTTCTACCCTCAATGCATTTTTCTAAAACATTCCAGAGGTTTATATCATTTACTTTTCTTTCATCTCTTAAATCCACTCCAGATGGACAGAAATTATTTTTAAATTGGCTCTGCAACTCGAACAGTTACGTAAACTCTGACAATGAGCTCTTTGCTTGGCCAGGGGATGGTTCCTTCTCCCGCCTGGGAAAGTCTCTGTTCCATTACTGGGGAAGAAGCTCAGAGGTCAGAACGTGGAGCCAGGTGTTACAGGCCCAGCGTCAGGTGGGATGAACACCAGGTGAACGACCCATGCGTCACTGGATGTCCCCTGTCCTGCCTCCTATTCCCACTACTGTCCCCTTCCTCCAACCACTCCCCATTTTTCCTGGCTTTAGTTCTGCAGGGTGCTGGTTAGCTCAGAGTCCACAGGAGGGATGACTTCCTGGCTGTCCACAACTGTATCATGTCAGTAAGAGCAGGAGGCAGAGGTGGGGATGTCAAGACCCAGACCAAAAATGTTTGTTTCATTTCAGTAACAAAAAAATAGGCCGGGCATGGTGGCTTCCACCTGTAATCCCACTACTTTGGGAGGCTGAGGCAGGCAGATCACCTGAGGTCAGGAGTTCGAGACTAGCCTGGCCAACATGATGAATCCCCATCTCTATTAAAAATACACAAAATTAGCCGTGGTGGCGCGTGCCTGTAATCCCAGCTACTCAGGAGGCTGAGGCAGGAGAATCACTTGGACCTGGGAGGTGGAGGTTGCAGTGAACCGAGATCATGCCATCACACTCCAGCCTGGGGGTCAAGAGTGAGACTTGGTCTCCCCTCACAAAAAAACAAACAAACAAACAAAAATCATATATATATATGTAAGTAAATATATATATACATATATATATATTTAATAAAATATAGAAAAAAGCCAGTTGCAGTGGTGTATGCCTATTATCCCAGCTAATCAGGAGGCTGAGATGGGAGGATGGCTTGAGCCCAGGAGTTTGAGACTGGGCCTGGGCAACATAGCAAGACCCTATCTGTAAATCAATCAATCCAACAGTGGGATGCCACCCAGAATAAGTATCTTTTTTGAAGTAAAAGACAACAAGCAAAATGGGGAGAACGGGTCTGGTAGTGGGGGCTGTCTGTCACTGACAATGAGGTCTCTGAGAGCCATTCCCTACCCTTCCCCACCCCTAGACATCAGGCCCCTCTCCTAGAAAATGACAGCACAGACCTAGGCCTGTGGCCTCCAAACTTTTCTTCTCTTCACTACAGAATCAATCCTCTCTTCAAACGAAGGCTTCTGTGAGAGCCCGAGATATAAAGCAAGCGAATGCAGAGGTGCCCTGGTTCACGTGGGGCCAGGCTTCCCTTTGCTAACCTGCCCAGCTCCTGAATTTGCCCCAGGAACCCTTCGCCAACCCTTGGGGCTCCAGGACGAGGTCTGAGAAAACGTCACTCTGCCATCTCTCCACAGCCCTTCTAAGTTCTCACAGTTGTGTTCTGGACGGTAAAATCCTCTAAGCATGATAACTTCATAAGCAAACCAAGCGATACGTAACACAGCTTCATCTTCCTTAAACTCACAGAGTCATCTTTTACTTATGTTCTGCGGGCTCGAAGGCAGAAGGTTCACAGTAGTGGTGTTTGGATAGTGGACAATTCTTTTCTACCTTTTCTAAATTGTCTAGAATAATGATACATAAAAATAAGAAAAGATCACTCTTCCAACAGCGACTGCCTACTTATCAACCTATCCATCTGCACTTTCAAACTCTTTTTATTAACAGGATTTCAGCCGGGCTCGGTGGCTCACGCCTCTAATTCCAGCACTTTGGGAGGCCGAGGCAGGTGGATCACCTGAGGTCAAGAGTTCGAGACCAGCCTGGCCAACATGGAGAAACCCCGTCTCTACTAAAAATATAAAAATTAGCCGGGCGTGGTGGTTGGGTGCCTGTAATCCCAGCTACTTGAGAGGCTGAGGCAGGAGAATCGCTTGAACCCGGGAGGCAGAGGTTGCAGTGAGCTGAGATTGTGCCATTGCACTCCAGCCTGGATAGAGTGAAACTCTGTCTCAAAAAAAAAAAAGAAGATCTCATATGTTGCCTTTCTCATAGACATTCCCTTCTCGATCCCTTAAGTATTTTCCTCTGTGACTTCCAGATTTTCTGAGATTGTATCTTTGAGTGGGAATGATTAGGTGGCCTGAACACTACCTGTCTGGCCCCTAAACAGGGCAACAGGGAATGTGGGGGCCTTGCTGGGGCGGTGAGTCTTCCCCCGTGCCCAGCAGGAGGCAGAGCACAGCTAAGGATGGAGGCAAGGTTCCCTGCAGAGGCTGTGTGTTCAGGGCAGGGTTGGGGGCGGGGAATGGAGCCACCCCATACCGATATGTCTCCGCGTCAGTTCCACTGCTGCATTCCTGTTGACGTTGGAGAGCAGCCCTAGGCAGAAGCGCTCCGAATTGGAGGGGTCGGTGAAGCCGTCCACAGTCATGGATGGCTGCGAGGCGTGGAACGTCTCCCCGACGCGCTGGTTCAGCTCGTAGTAGGAGATGGAGCACCAGAAGGCCGGCTCGCAGTAGGTAACTGGCTGCAGGTCTGTGGACACAGGGCGGGCTACTGGGTCAGTGGGTGCCCCAAGCCCCATGCTCCCTGCTCCCTCGATGGGGTCCCATGGATGCTCTGGAAAACCATTTCCCCACATTTCAGAGGGATTAATAATCTCCCCACCCGGTGCCTTTTATCGTATAAAACTGGCAGCACCCACCAGAACAAGATGCTCAGGTGTCCGGAGGAGATTCCATCAGCCTTGCCACACTGTGTGTGTAAAGGGCCATTGATTTCTTTTTTTTTTTTTTTTAAGCTCATAGAGGCCCTGCCCCGCCTGCTTGGCCTTGACTGGATGGAAGGAGTCTTCAAGCAGGGGCTGGGCCAAACCTGAAGAGGACCAGGGGCCACCCAGTACCTGGATGAACCTGGGACAGTCACTGCAGTGTGCCCACTGTGGGGCAGTCCACACCTCCCACAAAGTCACCTCTCAGCCTCTCTTGCAAGGTTCCTACAGTAACCACCATTAATCCCTGCCCCTAAAAGGGCTTTCAGGTTTTGGCTCTGCACAGCCCTGGGGGCAAACTCCCAGCCTGTGGAGCAGCAGCTTCCAAGCCTGCAGCAGCCGAGTGGGCTCCCAATAGGGCCCCGTGTCAGCGCAGTGGACACACCAGGATCGTCCGCAGACTGAGCCTGGAGCCCTGCCTCTTATCACAGAAACCATTTTCCACATTTATCTACATGCCGGCTGCTGGGGTGGCTGGGACACAAACCCATCTGAAAGAAAATCTGGATTTGTCCCAGTTGTCTGTGTAGTCTCCATATGGGGCTCCTCAAAGCAAAACTGCCATCCTGCGAGGGGCTGGTTCTCTTTCTCAGAAGAGTAAATGGCAGCTTCTCCTTACACTGGAAATGGATCCCAGCCTTCCATTTCCTGGGGCCTCCTTGCCCTCCTCTTGCCCCAGCCCAGCGGCCCTGGCGCTGTGCCCTCCTACTGCACACCTCTGCAGCATCTCCAGGTCCATACTCTCAGCCCTTGGCCGGGCCCTCGGAATTCCCACTCACACCGATGCCACAGCCTCTGGACCAGGACTGCCCTGCGCCCTGGGCCAACCACTTCCAGCTGCTTCTCTGTGCTGCACTGACTGCTGGGCACAAGCCCTTGGCCTGCCACGCTCTGCTTAATGCCTACCTGAATCCCATCCATCTGCTGAAGCATCAGGGAGTCCCCTGCTCATTCTCACTCTTCCATCTCAAAGCTTCAGCCTGGCTCTGAAGTCCCTCTGGCTCTTAAATATACCTGGAGCCACGCAGTGACTAAGGGTGTGCCTCTATGTGAGCATCCTGACTGTCCAACTCGACCATGAGGTCCCAGGGCCCAGGCTGACATCTCTCCTCCCTCACTTTAACCCTCAGCGCAGGGCTCTGTTGAGGGGGGAACAGGAGAGGCTCCCCGTGCCGTCGCCCTGGCCTGAGAACCCTGCTCAATGGATACCAGGCAACATCTAGGAGGGGGAACCCACCGGGGGCACCCCCGCTCATTAGACCTTCTGAAGGTGTGTAAAGCCCAAGAGAGAAAAGTCAGAAGCTGTTCTGCCCACAGGAAGGGGTCTGGTTCCCTGCAGGACAAAGTGTCCCTGATCCCCTTATGGGGTCTAGGTACATGATCCCTTCTAAAAGCAAGGAGAATGCTACCACGAACAGAGAAGGGGCAGGCCAGTAACACCCCTGCACTCCACACACGCCCAGGAAGTGTCAGCTGGAGGGTTAGGACACCCTAGGTCAGGTTTTTCAACTTCAGCACTACTGACATTTGGGGCCAGATAATTCTTTGGTGGGTGGGTGGGTGGGAGGGAGCGTGTGTAGATTGTAAGATGTTTACCAGCATTCTGACCCCTGCCCACTAGGTGCTAGCAGTATACATCCATACCACCCTCTCAAATTGTGGCAATAAAAGAAGGCTGTGGATATTGCCAGATGTATACTAGAGGGCAAAACAGCGCTAGATATTTAACTGGATCATGGGACACAAGCTATAAAGCCATCCTCCAGACAGACGGGAGATCAGTCTTGGCTCAGGCACAGACTAGACGTGCAACTGCGAGCAAACCAGCTACACTCTCTGGGCCTCATCCTCTTTACTCTCGGCGCTGTTTCTAGACAGAGATAACTCATGTGAAGTGCAGGGTGCGCATCAAGCACTCAGCACATGGTGTTAACACAATGATAAAAACTGGATTCTATGAACTTGAAAACAGCCTGGTCCTATCTTGATCACCATCAAGATGGAGGCAAAGCATTCTTAACCTTTTCCTCTCTTCCTGGGGTGGAGCAAAGGAAGATAAGGATGAAGGCATCAAAAGAACTTAATGGGGAAGGGAGGAAGGACAGGGCCGGGAGCAGCTGTGGCTTGTGTCCTGGCCCCTGAGGTGAGGCTGAGCCACGTCAGCCACATCTGGCTCTGGCTTTGCTTGATGCTTCAACATTCCAATGAGATAAGCTATATTCTAAACAATGTGGTCAGTAAAATGTGAGCTATGTTGCTTTGGAAACGTAAAAAAAAAAAAAAAAATCCAAGTGCAACGCAAGCATTCAGAGTGGTCAGGCAACGTATCAGTGCTGCTGGCCACCACTGCCCAAGTGCAGGCTCTGCTGATCCTGCTGTGTGATCTTGGGGACGTGACCTCCTTCTGTAACCTCAGTTTTCCAGTCCGTACAACGACTCTGGTGCATTAGAAGACAATAATGCTGACCACCTAGGTCATTCTCCGGCACAGGTCGGCTTGAACGTATAGCTTTGGCTGGCTCTGACTTACTCAGCAGTGTGTAGAACAGAACAGAGTCCGCACCCCGAAATCATAAAGCCCTGCCCAGCATTCTCTGGGTTTACTCCAGGCAGAAGAGAAAGAGCTAGGCTCCCAGGAACAGCAACCCAGCCCACCATTCAAAAAAAGAAAAAGCTGGCAGGCCACCCATTGTATCGCATGGTGCTGGAACCATGCTCTGGGGAGGGGTGGGCTTCAAGGACCCTCAGAATCAAAGACAGGCTTCGGGTCATAGGCCGAGAGGCCCTCCCAAGCAGATCTGAGCCCTTATCCAAACAGCCCTGCAACTCACAGACACACACTGGACAGTGTTGTGGAAAACCCCGGACACTAGGAACCTGACACATCATTAGGAAGACGCTTGTTTGAGGGAGCAGTGAAATCAGGCCAGTGGCAAAGTCTGCAGGCTGCCATTTCAGAGAGTGCTGTTTGGACAAGCTGCCCTGTGTTCAGAAGCGGGACTGAGCCGGAGCAGCACCCCAGCCATGCACTCTCTATTCTCTGCAAACAACTAAAAGCCAGCCGTGCTTTCCCTCCTTTCTAGGTCCCGCCTGCCCACCACACCTCAGCTGCTTCCTCCCGAAACTTGTGCAAGAAGAGTGGCAGACCAGAAAGTATGGTCACCACCTCTGGGTTCTGCCTTCAATGACACATTTTTCTTTAAAAAACAAACAAACAAACAAAAAACAGACCAGATGCAGTGGCTCATGCCTGTAATCCCAGCACTTTGGGACGCCAAGGCAGGCATATCACTTGAGGTCAGGAGTTCGAGACCAGCCTGGTCAACATGGTGAAACCCCATCTCTACGAAAGATACAAAAATTAGCCGGGCGTGGTAGTGGGCACCTGTAATCCCAACTACTCTGGAGGCTGAGGCAGGAGAATCACTTGAACCTGGGAGACAGCGGTTGCAGTGAGCCGAGATCACGCCACTGCACTCCAGCCTGGAGGACAGAGCAAGACTCTGCCACACACACATACACACACCCCAGAACACTAAATATGCCCTCATTTCTTTCCCAAAGGACTTATCCTTACCTATCAGAGAAACAAAAAGGACTCTGGAAAGAAGAAGGCTATAAATGGGATAACCATGAGGTTATAGTTACTGCAAAAGCATCTAGTTTGGCTCTGAGCTTCCTAGCAGACAAGACAAAAAGGGAAGATGATATGGTCTATGGCTCTGGTTGGTGGATGGGCAATGCTTACTAGTTCCTCAGGGTAAACAAAGCTTGTCCTGGCATTAAATCTTAAAAGAAATCTCTCAGGGGGAGGTAGCAACCCCTCCCCCGACCAATCAATTGATCAAGCAAGCAAGCAAGATCTGGTTTCCAGGGTTTACCAACAAATGCAGAAGCAGTTCTAGAGAAGGCTCCTCTAGGAGAAGGACTGCGGGGAGGGTAAGGTGACACACCCCAATCAACAGCAGCTTCACCTCTAGGCTGAGCATTCTGCACACTGGGGTGGAAGACAACAGCACGTGCCCACGGCCTTCCCTTCAAACAGCCCCGCTCCCGGCCAGACTTCGAGTCTGTGCTAATCTCTCTTCCCAGTGCAGACGTGTTGGAGACGCAGGAACCTCCAGCTCCAGCCGTTGTGGGTCCCCTGCCCCCACCAGTGTGGTGTCGGCCAGACTTCTCGAGTGCCATAGGGCACTTAATCCATGGCTGGCCCCCTGCCAGCCTAACGCATTGGCTGGCCTCAGTTTTCAGTCCTGTTCCAAGCTGGCACAGACGTTCCATTTTGTTTAAGAAAAAGAAAACAGAATAAAACCCAGAAGGCAACGCTTGGATTAAGGGACGCCTATTAAAAACATGTGCAAGAGATTCAAATCCGGTAAAGGAAAAGGTGGGGAGGCAAGAGGGGGAAATTAACTTTCTCCTCCAAATCGAAAGCAAGGAACGGACAAAGGCCAGGAGCACCGCCGCTGCAAGATGAAAGGTCAAAACAGAAGTGGACTGGTTTCCTCCGGGCCCACCTCACCTGCGGGAGGCAGTTCTCTTCCTCACTCTAGGAGATTCCACACTCCGGTTCCCATGTTCCCCATCCGCCACTTCTCAGTCCTGCCTGGGTCCTCTGCCTGGACTGCCCATCCCCCTCCTCTGCAGGGACGCGATCTTTAAGGCCCAGCTCACGTGGCTGTGAAATACTCCCTCACTGCCTCAATGCAGAATTAGCCTTGTGTCCCAGAAACTGTGTACCTGAGTCTCCTGTGCTAGAGAGTGA